TTTCAACACTACGATACGAGATAAAAACGATTACTAACATGGTTACTAGTATTTTCAACACAACGATACGAGATAAAAACGATTACTAACATGGTTACTAGTATTTTCAACACTACGATACGAGATAAAAACGATTACTAACATGGTTACTAGTATTTTCAACACTGAGATACGAGATAAAAACGATTACTACCATGGTTACTATTGTTTTCAACACTGAGATACGAGATATCAACGATTACTCACATGGTTACTAGTGTTTTCATCACTGCGATACGCGATATCAACGATTACTCACATGGTTACTATTGTTTTCAACACTGCGATACCAAAAAAAATTACTCACATGGTGACTAGTGTTTTCATCACTGCGATACGAGATAAAAACGATTACTCACTTAGTGACTAGTGTTTTCATCGATGTGATACGAGATAAAAAAGGATTACTCACATGGTGACTAGTGTTTTCGTCACTGCGATACGAAATAAAAAAACATTTACTCACATGGTGACTAGTTTATCATCGCTACGGTACGAAATAAAAACGATTACTCACAGAGTGACTAGTGTTTTTATCACTGCAATACGAGTTAAAACGATTACTCACATGGTGACTAGTGTTTTCGTCGCTGCAAAACGAAATAAGAACAATACTAACGTGGTTACTAGTGTTTTTCCTCACTACGATAGGAAATAAAAATAATTACTCGCATGGTGAATAGTGTTTTCATCGCTGCGCTAACGTTTTTACTCACATGGTGACTAGTGTATTCGTCGCTGCGATACGAGATAAAAACATTTACTCACATGGTGACTAGTGTTTTCTTCGCTACGATACGAGATAATAACGATTACTCACATGGTGACTAGTGTTTTCATCACTGCGAGGTAAAAACAATTACTCGCAGGGTGACTAGTGTTTTCATCGTTGTGATACGAGATAAAAACAATTACTCACATGGTGACAAGTGTTTTCATCACTGCAATATGAGATAATAACGATTACTCAAATGGTGACTAGTGTTTTCCTCGCTACGATACAAGATAAAAACGATTACTCACATGGTTACTAGTGTTTTCATCGCTACGATACGAGATAAAAACGATTACTCACATGGTTACTAGTGTTTTCATCACTGCGAGGTAAAAACAATTACTCGCATGGTGACTAGTGTTTTCATCACTGCGAGGTAAAAACAATTACTCGCAGGGTGACTAGTGTTTTCATCGTTGTGATACGAGATAAAAACAATTACTCACATGGTGACAAGTGTTTTCATCACTGCAATATGAGATAATAACGATTACTCAAATGGTGACTAGTGTTTTCCTCGCTACGATACAAGATAAAAACGATTACTCACATGGTTACTAGTGTTTTTATCGCTACGATACGAGATAAAAACGATTACTCACATGGTTACTAGTGTTTTCATCGCTACGATATGAGATAAAACGATTACTCATATAGTGACTAGTGTTTTCATCACTGCAATACGAGACAAAAACGATTACTCACATGGTTACTAGTGTTTTCATCGCTGCGATACGAGATAAAAACGATTACTAACATGGTTACTAGTGTTTTCATCGCTACAATACGAGATAAAAACGATTACTCACATAGTGACTAGTGTTTTCATCACTGCAATACGAGATAAAAACGATTACTCACATGGTTACTAGTGTTTTCATCTCTGCGATACAAGATAAAACGATTACTCACATGGTTACTAGTGTTTTCATCGCTACGATACGAGATAAGAACGATTACTCACAATGTGACTATGTTTTCATCGCAGCGATACAAGATAAAAACGATTACTCACATGGTTACTAGTGTTTTCATCGCTACGATACGAGATAAAAACGATTACTCACATAGTGACTAGTGTTTTCATCACTGCAATACGAGAAAAAAACGATTACTAACATGGTTACTAGTGTTTTCATCGCTGCAATACAAGATAAAAACGATTACTAACATGGTTACTAGTGTTTTCATCGCTACGATACGAGATAAAACGATTACTCATATAGTGACTAGTGTTTTCATCACTGCAATACGAGATAAAAACGATTACTCACATGGTTACTAGTGTTTTCATCGCTGCGATACGAGATTAAAACGATTACTAACATGGTTACTAGTGTTTTCATCGCTACGATACGAGATAAGAACGATTACTCACAATGTGACTATGTTTTCATCGCAGCGATACAAGATAAAAACGATTACTCACATGGTTACTAGTGTTTTCATCGCTACGATACGAGATAAAAACGATTACTCAC